TGTGTGCGTGCGTGAGTGTGCATGTGTGTGGGTCTATACATAAAACTATGACTTCACACTGATACCTCCCATTCGTTGTAACATCACAAGGTTCTTCCTCCCTTTCCCACACTCCACTTGTATCACAATAAGAGTCCTGGGTCCCCAAAACATCAACATAGTTACCCAATCATACGATAGTCACAAAATAGTTTCTGAATTACTATGTTAATACTTCTACCCAGAATAATTGCTAAGTTAAATTCAAGATTTTCTGAAAGTTTTTCTTTTCTTTTCTTCTTTCCTTCCTTTCTTTCCTTCTTCCTTTCTTTCTTTTTCATTTTTTCCTTTTTTTTAAATTTTTGGTCTCTGTTGAAATATATCCTACTAAAAGATATAAAGTCATGACATATTTTTTCTCTGCAAAAATGCATCATGACTTTTTGGATGATCCAGTATATGCTTCTATTAGATTATTACGTTAAAAAAATCTTGGATTACTTCTTTTTTGCATGTGTCAGTATACTATTAGTTTGATATCTACTACATTTACTTGTATTTCATATATTATTACCTGTGTATGTACCTGTGAACCCTGAAGATAATGAGCAGGTCCATCTTCCTCAGAGGTTCCTCTCCATCATCTTTCCCTCCCACTCCTCACTCTGTCCCCAAGCAACTATATATTCTGTCACTGTAGTTTAGCTGGCACTTTCTAGAATTATATTATCAGGCAATAACACAACACATACTCTTTCATGTTAATTTTTTGTTCACTCAGCATGACCATTTTGAGATTCATCCACATTGTTGCAGCTATCCCTAGTTTGTTGATTTTTATTGCTGAGTAGCATTTCATTATATGGATATACCACAATCTGTTTGTACATTCACTTGCTGATGGGGATTCAAGTTATTTCTAGTCTTAGCTGCTTGGCTGCTCTAACAAAATACTGAGACTGAGTGACTTAAACAAATATCATTTATTTCTCACCGTTCTGGAGACTGGGAAGTTCAAGTGCCAGCTGGCTCGGCTTCTGACATGGGCCCTCCTCCTGGCTTCCGGATGGCTGCCTTCTTGCTGAGTCCTCGCATGGCTGAGGGAGAGAGACAGAGAAAGAGAGAGTGCACTTTAATCTCTCCTTTTATAGGAAGACTAATCTCTTCATGAGGGCTCCACGCTCAAGACCTCATATAAACTTAATTACCTACTTAATTACCACCTCCAAATACCATCACATTGGGGATTTGGGCATCGGCATATGAATGGGGGGGGCAGAAATATTTGGGCTTAAGAAGCCATTACTAATAAAGCTACTCTGGCCATTCATGTATAGATACTTATTTTCCTTTCTCTTGGATAAATAATTGCTTAAGGGAGGGACTGCTGTGCCATATGGCAGGTGCATATGTAACTGTTTAAACAACTGCTGAATGTTTTCCAGAGTTTATGTACTGTTTTCTGTCCCACCTGCAATGTATAAGAATTCTGACTCTTTCACATCTTTACAATACTTGTATTATCAATCTTTTTCATTTTTGCCATTCTATTAGATAACTACTGGTATTTCACTTTTATTTAACTTAGTTAATATGATTAATGATGATCATGTACTAATTTGTTATATGATTTTTTTTTTTTGGAGAGGTTTTGCTATAGGGCATGTGCGCTTGCCAGAAAGACAGAGAGACAGAGAGACAGAGAGACAGAAAGCGAGAAATCACCCCCCAGGGGGGATGGCTACACGGCGATCCCTTCTCCTCCATTCTCCTCTTGGGGTCTTGGGCAAACACGCACACATGCCCAGCGTGAGTTTAAGCCACCGGGTCCAGGACTTGAACTGTGGTTGACGACATGGGAGTCCAGCAACATAGCCATTACGCTAACTGCTGGTCCCTGGCATATGACTTTTCTTTTAAAAAGTGTCCATACAGGTCTTTTGACCATTTTAAAAACAGGGTTGTTTTCTCTTTTAAAGTTTATTTACCTATTTCTTTTGTAAGTGAGAGAGAGAGTAGCACCCCTAACAGGGTCTTGATGTTACAATCTCTCCCCAGCCTTCAGCCTGGGTCCTGGGCAAGTATGTGCCCAGTGTACTCAGGAGGGAGTCAGGGTCTCTAGACTCAAACTAAAGAGCATGCAAATGCACCTCATTGGTCCCCGGTGGCTCTTGAGGTTCAGAAACTCATCACTGACCAATAGCCTCCATGGGCTTGGTGAAACCCACCTACATAGGCTACCTAATCCATAGTCTCAGTTTAGGAACTCCTTCCTGGTTAAGGAAAGTATCTAGTCAGAGAAGCAGCTCTGAGTTGGCTGATATACCAGACTTGTGTTTATCTTAACATAGATGAAAAATGAAAAATGTCAGTGAGCTACAGCAGATCCTCTAGCTTCTAAATAAATCTGAGCAAGACTACTCTTCCAACAGTGGAATTACGCTCACAGGTCAAACTAAATTGCATTAACTGTTACTTCTATGTACTCAATAAAAAACAGAAGCAATGAGTCACATTCTCATTTATAAAAGTAATACTTTTTGATACTGCTGTAAAGCCTACAGGAATGTGTCCAGCTAGGCCTCCAAAACTGATTCCTTGCTGGGTTACCATGGTCAAGGGCTGGTTAGGTTAGTTGGTTCAAGCCACCTGGGGGCTGAAGAGGGCTCCCGGCCTCACTGGGGACATGTATGATCCAATACAGAAGCCTTTTGGCATATCCCTGTGGGAGCTAGAGTTTGAAGAGGACATTATGAGGTGTCAAATAGCTTCATTTAAGGTGTCACAATCAGCACACTGGACTCAGGAGGAAGCTGGGTCACCACAGGGACCACAGTATAGTCATTAACTCTAGGGGCAACTTTCTGGCTTCAATTTTATTTTTTAATTGCCAGAAGGCCTATGCACTCACCAGAGAAAGAGGAGGAGAGAAGAGGAGGGAGAAAGCAATTCCCACACCCAATACAGCGTGGTCATGTCACAATCCCTTTTTCTCCACGTATGTGTCCTGTTAGGATTTTGGGCACACATATGCACATGTGCACATGTATGTGCATGTGTGCATGCTCACACACTCACACACACACACACACACACACACACACACACACACAGAGTGTATCTTGCAAGCTGCCAGGCTGGGATTTGAACCACAGTCAGCCATGTAGGATCTGGATCCCTTAACCACTAGCTTACAAGGCTGGCCCATCCAGTTTCAAACTCTGATTCTGTTACTTGCTAGCTAGGGTAAATTATGTAATCTTCCTGTCCTATACTAAGAGAGTTAAAATGTATGAAGTACATAAACTACTGCCTAGTACAGTGTGCAATTTTATGATAGTAATCTGGGGTAGGCCCAAAATCATCACAAGAGTCCTTATAAGAGAGAAGCAGGAGGGTCAGAGGAGGAAGTGTGACAACAGAAGAAAAGGTGGGAGAGATTGGACCCTGAGCAAAGGAAATGCAACAGGCGGCAGAGACTGGAAAGGGCAGGCCTCCCCTGAAGCCTCCTAGGAGAAGCGGCCTGCTGATGCTTGACAATAACTCTAGCTTCATACAACTGGATTTGGACTTCTAATCCCCAGAACTGTAAGATGATAAATCTGTGTGGTTTTAAGCCTCTAGGTTAGTGGTAATTTGTTACAACAGCAATAGGAAACTAATTCAGTCCTCATGACTCAGTGAGGTTTCAGTCCTTCCATTTCACCTCTGGTGGGATGATACTTCTGATAATACAAAGTCGCCCAAATCTCTCCAGTTAGCTCTGTCTCAACAGTCATGCCAGACCTGGTGCATGTTTCTGGCCACTTCGTTACAGAGGGCAAGGCTTGTTTTACTTTATTTGTTGATTGAGTTTAAATGTCACCGATTAAACAAAGGAAGGTATTGATTGAGTTTAAATGTCACCGATTAAACAAAAAAAGGTATTTATAATGTATTCAAGAGTGTTGTACTTTATGCAGTAGCTGTATTCATTGAAAAGTATATTATTGGTGCTTTGTGAAGTATCATGTGTTTGTATTAAGTCATACTTTTTTAAGTATTAATGAGACTTACCATTTAAAAATATTCTACGGTTGAATCTTTTAAAATTTATTTAATTGTATTATCATAATCTTTTTATATTACATTGAATCACATATATTTTTATGGTGGACTACATTTCTTTTTCCAGCACAATTATCATCCATATCAGTCAAGACAAAGACATTACTATCCATGTCATCATCATCATCAAATAGCTTTTCATTGTTTTTTCAGATTATTATTTATTCTCATTTTTCATTATTTATTTATTTATTTTTTTGGTGAGAACCATGTTACATTATATTCCAGCATGGTAGAATCATATCACACTTAAAGTGTGACACAAAGAATGAAAAGATTATGGAAAAATTAAGATGTTTTAACAATAAACAAGGTCTAGCGTTCATAGTTGAAGTAGGGCAGATTACTGAGATGTTGGGTGGCAAAATTATTCTTTGTCATGACACAAACTACATCTTCTAGCTCGTAGTAAGGCTTTATCGCTTTGTTCCACGTCTCAGGTATTGCTTTACAAGTAACTAAGACACATCTGTACCAAGTAACAATTGATGCCATGGTAAAATTAGCCTCAGGATCTTCCTTCACCCTCTCCATCCATGACCAGCCACATTCCCTGGTACTGTTTTTCTCTTGCCTGAAATATCCTTGCTATTCCTTCAAAAACCAGATTTAAGCCACTTGTTCCTGCGAAGAAAAATAACTAGACAAAAAAATTTGTGATTGGGAATTCTGTTTTGTTCTTAGCATGTTGCTATTACTAGGAGTAATTCTTTATTCCTCAGTTGCTTACTTGCCAAGTAGTTGGAAAAGGCTAATCAGTTTAAGAAAGTTTCAAATAAATTGCTGTCTTTTATTATCATCTTTAAAATGTCATATAAAGGCCTTACAAGTTATCTGGCTTGTTGTTACTGTAGCTGGAGAACTCTTCGATCTTACTCATCAGC